TCCTGTCTTCATCTTTTCTCTACATTTTATATTAAAAAAAAAAGAGCCTTGCCCCATGTTCCGACTATCTCTATGCAGTCTTTTGAGTCTGAAAAAAAAGATTGCATATCATAATATATTAAAGGTATTACTATGGATATTATGCCAAGAAAAAAAAGTCTATACTTATCACTGCTCTGCTTTTCAATCCTACAGCTGGTACTATGGAAAAAAAAGGGATTCGATCAAGTAATTGTTCCAGCGAACTTCGTATTGATGCGTAAAGAAAAAAAACTTTATGTTCGTTCAAAGATTGTTTGATGTAAAATATTCTAAGAGATAACAAAAAAAAGAAACTGATTCCGTGGTGGCTGCAAATAGTTCTCAGTTCTTTGACATAAGAAAAAAAAATTTCGTGAATAAAAACGTCTCCAGAGTCATCCACAGCTGAAAATGAATGAAAAAAAAGACGTTATTCATTCATAATACTGGAAATATAGAAAAATGGAAAAAATACCAAAAAAAATCGCATTTGACTACACAACAAGTCGTTAACTCTTCACTCTGATAGAATAATCCTCGGAATTCCAATGAAGCATTCTCACATTGAGCAACACTCGACAAACCTACAATAAAAAAAAAAAAAATTGTATTGTCACATCAATTAACGCGATTAAAGTAGCAATCATGAAAAAAAAAAGGTAGTTTTATTTTTTCCAAAGTTTGTTTTTGATGCCAAAATGAAGATGGAAAAAAAAGAAACCAGATATTACCAAACCCGCCCAGCGATCTCAAAGTAATTGTCCTCAAAAAAAAAAGAGAGTTTCAGTATAGTAAGAACTCACCTCTACACTTCTCAAGATATTGATGTGAAATAAACTGCCACTCCACCAATGCTCCTTTAGGTAATGAAGGTACTATAACAAAAAAAACCAGACGTTCAATATCCATCTCRCAATTAGCATTTTCACATATCTGTAGTAAAAAAAAATGGTGAACCTTTTAAAAAGGTCTAAAAAACAGACCAAAGTTACAGAACAAAAAAAAAACTGACCTTTGATTGTAAGGCAGTTTTGAAGGCTTCCTCAGCCATTGCAATGTCCTGATGACGAGTTACATAGCAAATACCATACAATCCATGAAGTAATGATTGTGTAAAAAAAATGAAGGCTGTAATAATCCTATCAACATGTCGAAGTGCTAAGGCTGCCTCTAAAAAAAAACCACCTTKGATTATTGTCATACTTGCAGGCCATAAACCAATRTTACCAGAAAAAAAAATCAAGGGACCAACCTGTTAAKAAACACCAAAATGCAGTTTCTGCATTTTAAAAAAAACTTTTTCAACCAAACWTWCATAMCATTTTGTATTCAATCTAGATCATTTTAGTCTTGCATTATGCCCTTAACTTGTCATCATGATGATCATTAATAACATCATTATTAAAAAAAAATCAATAAAGGCATCATCTTTATTACTGATGACATCATCTTCATCACTGATAAAAAAAAAATTACATCATCATTTTCATTGATGACATCATTCAATTGTCATTCCATTTAAAAAAAACTACGCACAACTCCATACCTTTGTAACTTGACTGTATGGGCCAATGTTAGAAAAAAAACAGTGAGATATACTTTGGACATGCATAGACTCTTTTCTATAGCATGGTCTCTCTTGTCTTTCAGCATCATCATCATTTTTATTCTCATTTTGTAAAGTGATGCATTTAAAAAAAAAACAATCAAGCATTAGTATGCATCCTTCTTCAAGGTCTGCTTCAACACAAGAAAAAAAAGGAGATTATACAGACATTCAGACCAACACTAACCTACAAAATTACTATATAAAAAAAATCAAGATTATACAACAGAGTTTTAGATGGAATAACCTTGAAGGAGGATTAAAAAAAAAATAGCTTTTATACACAGAATTGACTTGTGAAAAGTTATCCATCTGTTTCAAAAAAAAATGCATCAGAATGACATCATCCATGCAGTACCTCAGCTGTTCAATGGTTTCAAAAAAAATAAAAAAAGAGCAATCAAAAGTGTTAGGTTTGAAATAATGACATCATATAAAAAAAAAAGTGGGTTGTGATCATAGGAAGTCGTTCCATGTCTTGCAACATCATCAGCAAAAAAAATACCTTTTAATTTATCCATGAAAGTTTTTGTAATTTCCTGCACTGTTAAGAAAAAAAAATAATGTGCCTTTAAACCAGAGATCCATAAATACCCACCAGTATTATTATAAAAAAAAGAGTCTGCAACAAATTAAAGAGGTCCAAGAATTTATGTTTAAAATGAATTAAAAAAAAGAGTATTTGGGACTCAATTCAGGTTACCTTCACT